TACATGTATATATATATATGTATCTTAGTCGTAGTTGCAGCCGGGCAACCTTCTTTAGCTCGGAAGAGAATTGCGCAAATCTCCGCAAACGGCTGTGAGCAACGCGCTGCGGGGGCGAAATTCCTACGAAGGCGTGACACTGTAATCTCACTCCGGGATGGCGCAAATAATGATTTGGCTAGAACATCGACCGCATTGCCAGATGGTGCCCTTGAAGCGTCATGGCAGGCATCAAGCCTTTTGATTGAAAACACCGTTGCAATGCACTGCATCCGATCGCTTCATGAATTTTCTGGGGCCGCTGCACAGCAACCGGAAGGTCGGTGCGGTACATGAAGTAGGTATAACATCCCCAGCCAATTCAAGCAGGCACTCTCTCACCTGTCTCGTGAGCTGTTTTTGCACCACTAGGTGAATCATCTCCATGATGATCGTCAGAAGTTCATCTCAGCAGTGGTGTAAAACAGGCGCGGCCGTGCGACTTCAAGCCTGTTGACGACAGTGTCCAAAGGCTGTGAGGCGATGCCAAGGCAGTGGGCCTCACGGCGCAAGCTGCAGAAAGAGTCTGCTCCAGACTGATTCTGCTTAAGAAACTGCATGAAGCTCTGAGGTGCAAAGCTTTCACCCTCAAATACACAAAAACCGCGTGACGAAACAAGTTTTACATACCTGAAATTACTTGAGCACGATGGCCGTTGACTGCTAAGGCTGTACCATTGGCTTTTTAACTGCAACTCCTTGTTTCACTGCCGCAGGTGTAAGAGCTGGGCAGGCGAGTCGAGCAAGCTCGTCCTTGCCCGTAAAAAAAGGGGCACTACGATGTACTACGCGCTGTGCGGAGGCTCGCTCAGTCCGTAACGGGCCCTCAAGATGCGCGAGGCCTACCAACTATGACTTCAGGCCGCAGACATCTTGGGGCGCCTGTCTGTTTTGAAGGTGCGCGGAACGCAAGCTGTCTGGCAAACTCCAAGAAGCTACGGCGCCTCTGCTCCCATTGCTCCCCCCTTCGAGATGACTCTTGGCAGCCACTTTCAAGAAGGAATTCGCACAGGCAAAAGGCAAATGCCTATGAACCAAGTTACGACGCCCCATGAGTCCCGCACACAAATGCCATGGCATGATACATGCTAAAACCCATCCAACGCCGAGCTTCGACGCGCTCCCGGTCCTGGCGGGTATGGCCAAACTCCTGGGAGGCCTCAGCAGCCGGAGCTTTTTTTGGAGGCTGTTGCTTTCATCAGTATGGACATACCCCCCACTTAAGACGGGTAGGGCAGTGGGAGGTCGCCAGGAAATCTGCCGGGCTCATTTCCTACAACGCATGTGCAGGGGGTGTTGGACCACTCTCACAACTCCGTAGATTCATGTGAATGGAATGTCATGTTGCGGAGCTGATTTCTTGAGCAGGGCGGAGAGTGACTCCCCCCCCCAAGCAGGGCCCATCATTGAGGGGGTGGTGTATGTGGACACTACAAGTACTTTGATTCCGAAGCTTGACATTTGCCCTCATGTTCAATCCGCACCAGGGAGGGCCTACCAGGCTCGAGGTGGAACTGTGAACAAGAATCTTTATGCTCCGCACACGATGGTGAGCGACTCAGAAAGGACTGTTATCTTGCATGGCGCAGGTACCCAGCCCTCTCAACTCTGAAGTCCAGAAGTCAGATCCTAGGACTTCTCATGTCTGGGTGAGATCAAAGAACAGGCTCAACTTCGTTCTGTGATTGTTGGGCTCGTGTTGTACAAAATCCTCCACGAGGATCCCTACATCTCTTTGGGAACCACCGTTTTGACACAGGCTGTCGACATGCGAGCAACAAAAGCTCATGCACGAGAGGCTGAGGAAGGCTTTGTCGGAACACACCAAGACACACCAAGAAATCTGACATAACAGGCACAAATTTGGACTTTGAAGCTCAACCACTTTAGCTCTACACTAGTGCTTGCTGCAGTTCCTTCCACAGTTTGCCATGCAGTCGATATATATATATATATCCAGTACCAGGTTGCTACCCCAAATTAGCTTGCTGATGGTTGCTGCGCGATCCCAAGCCTGACCCATCCACGTTTTTGTCACACTCGCCAGTTCACGTCTTGCAGCAGAACGTTGTATCTGAATTGCTGGGAACCCCCGAGCACGACTCCTGATTGTCAGGAGGCCACAGGCTGTCAGGAGCTCTCTTTGATGGCTCGCCGCTTTTCTTATCGAAGTCGGTTTGATGAAGAAGGGCATGCTCCAGCTAGTGCAGAAAAGCGAAGCGAACCAGCCAAGATTAGCCAAGGGTGGCTGAAGTTGTCCCCCGCCCGAACATGTTCTCCGGGCGAGATCGAATTCCCGTTGCTTTGTATCACCGAATCCAATACCAAAACAAAACAAAACGGCCACAATCTTCACAATCCCGAGTATTGCTTTTGCTGGACTTGAATTCCGGTTCCAGTCCACCCACCTGGTGATTTTCTCCAGGGAATGGTGCTGCAAGCATCCTAGCAGCTGCCTGAGTAAGATGGCCTAAGGATCCTAACGGCAGCTGCATGACAAGGGATGCATGGATTTCAGCTTCCAGTCCAATACCTCACTCCAAACGATGTGAATCAAGCCGCATGCTGTCTCGGATGCACATGCAACATACGCCGTGGCCACGGCGTGTTCATTTTGCCTC